ACGGAGGTGACGGTTCCCCCTGAGATTTCCCCGGATTCCCGGATACGTTCTGCACATCGAAGCGTGGACCCGCTCCACGATTCGCCATTCCAAATGCGCGCAGAACGCACGCCGTCGGGTGGATTTCCTCCGGCCCTCTCACGGCCATCCACAACGTCGCTCATAAGCTCAGCCGAATCCCACCGAACGGCACCGACTGCAGGTTCGGCACCGACCGGAGTCCGCCGGGCTCACTCTTCATAAAATGTGATTAGGACATAATTCGACGCCCGGGGTCCGACGGAATGAGCGATCGATCCAGGCCGGCGGCCGTCACGCGTCTCCCGATCAACCGTCGTCAACGCAATCCGCGTTGTCAGGGGTAGCCGAGAACACGGAACGGCCTTACGGCCTTACGGCCGGGACGCGACAAGCAGCCCGAACTGGCCAAGCGGAGAAAGGGGCCCGTAGTCCCGGTTTTCCCGCCGGGAGCGACCCCGGAACGGAGCTCCCGACGCCCACATGTAAAGAGGGCTCGAGATTCGACATCCGGTCCGGGAATCGCTGAACTTTCGTCAAAACGATGGAAAATTATCGCCGTTGCCGCAGTGACGACTGTTTGAACGAAAACAACACGAGACTTATAGCTGGTTAGAAATGCTTATTGAACACGTAAACAAATCAACTGTTGCTCCGTGGTTACGTTCGTCGGAAAAATTTACGAGCTCCCGGCANCCCGGTTTTCCCGCCGGGAGCGACCCCGGAACGGAGCTCCCGACGCCCACATGTAAAGAGGGCTCGAGATTCGACATCCGGTCCGGGAATCGCTGAACTTTCGTCAAAACGATGGAAAATTATCGCCGTTGCCGCAGTGACGACTGTTTGAACGAAAACAACACGAGATTTATAGCTGGTTAGAAATGCTTATTGAACACGTAAACAAATCAACTGTTGCTCCGTGGTTACGTTCGCCGGAAAAATTTACGAGCTCCCGGCAACCGGGTAAATATCATTGCGGTGCTTTTGACGATACTAGAAATTTTTTTTGATTTTGTAAAAAACACGATTACAGCATTTACCTTTCCTCTGTGATAATA